AATTTGTTTATCCCACGATCCCCTTTGAGTAACAGTTTTTGAACGTATCTTAGGCTTTTGAGACTTCTTGATGTTTGACATAACTGACACAATTTCTCGGGAAGCCCATAGGAAAGGAGCTTCGAAAGAAGCGCTTTGTGCCAAACCCGATCGAAGGCCTTCGCAATGTCCAAACTAACGGCCAACGCCTCCTCCTTGGACTCTACTGCCTCTGCCCATCTATGGGTCAGGTAGACCAGAAGATCACCAGCTGATCGACCCCGACGAAAACCGTATTGGCGGTCACTAATCAGCTGGTGATCCTCAAGGTACCCCATGAGCTGGCAGTTAATAATTGATTCCATTATTTTGGAGAACAAGGAGGTGATCGCGATAGGCCTATAGGTGGACGGGTCTGAGCGGTCGCCTTTTTTAGGGATCGGGTGGACAAAATCTGTCTTCCATGAATTCGGGACTACGCCTTGGGAGTAGGAGTACCGGAAAAGACGCGTTAGGACCGGTGCCAACTCCGGAGCACACGTCCTTAGCACAATTGGGGGGATTCCGTCAGGCCCACTCGACTTCTGGATGTCCAGGAAGAGGAGTGCTTTGCGAACCGAGCGCTGTGAGAACAGCACATCTGGCATGGAGCACTCACACCGCGGGATGGTCGGCGGTGTTTTCCCCCCGTCATCAAGAGTCGAGTTGGACGCAAAAAGGGAGCCTAAAAGGTTGGCTTTGTCTTTTGCGTCTTGGGCCAGTGAGTCGTCCTCCCTGTGCAGAGATGGTAGTGATGGCTTATAAAAATTCCCTTGGACAGCCTTGACGAGAGACCAGAATGCACGGGTTCCCGAAGGAAGGCGAACTAGTTTCTCGCCAATTCTGCCTATGTGCTCTGACTTTGCCTTGGCAATAACTCTTTTGAAGGACCTGGAGGCGAAGTTATACGTCTTTTTAAGTGTGCTGGTGTTTACATCCCGAGTCGCCGAAGCCGCAGCCCAGGCTTGATAACACTCCTGCTTACTGCGTAATGCAGTCTTACAGGAGCGACCAAACCAAGGCTGAGATCTGCCTCCGATGGGTACCACAGATGATGGAATAAATAGTTCCATTCCCTGTAGCACCACATCAGTGACAGAGTGAGCAATAGCGCTGGGATCATCTGGCGAGAAGCAAACCCGCCCCCATGGGTAGGATGCAAAGAAAGACCGCATTCCGTCCCAATGCGCCGACCTGTAATGCCAAACACGGCGGCAACCTGCAGAACGCAACCGCGAGGGGAGCGTGAGTGGCACCACACTCCGGATCAGACAATGGTCCGAAGAGCCGAGAGGGGCATCGACGGAAACCTGATATCCGTCCGGATGAGAAGTCAGCTGAAGGTCCAACAGGGAAGGTGTATGATCCTCCACATCTGGAATCCGCGTAGGCGAAGTAATCAGTTGTGTCAGACCACATGCCAAAGCAAAGTCATAAACAGATCTCCTCGCATTATCGGTTAATCGTGAACCGAACTATTAGGCGTGGTGGGCGTTAAAATCGCCAAGGATCACGATCTCTGCGGATGGGACCTGTTGTACCAAAGAATCTGTAGCCATTTGGACGTGGTCAATGAGTCGGTCTGTTTCGGCATTACCGCTATGGGACCTATAGAGGCACCCGTAGACGCGTGGATGGTCGTCGCTGTCTACGCGTAGCCATAGGATGGACAGGTCCGAACCTTCAAGACTGCCGAGGCGTCGAGAACAGATGTCCTCACTGACATACACGCATACTCCAGCCCGAGGCACAAAGGAGTGCTCCAATTTGTACCCCGGGCAGGAGAGATACGAAATATCAGCCGGAGAGGAAACCTGCGTCTCGGTCAGAAAGAGCAAGGCCAGCTTCGCCGTCTCGCGATGGTAGTGGCATTTAGGTTCGAATGAAGTCCCCTGATGTTGCAGAAATTCACGGATAGCGTGGCAGGGGTCGCCTTGGTCTTATGTTTTTGAGCGGAATTTTGCCCCCCCCCCCCCCTCCGAAGTGGAATAACATGGTCGTGGATGCTCAGCGAGGGCTTCTCCAGGGGTGTTGGTACCCTCCTGGGGTAGTCTAACGTGTAATTCCGCTACCATGTTGATGGTTGATGGGGGGGGGGGGGAATAGGGCCACCTGCACTCACCAGACGAAACGCAGAAGCAGAGCTTCTACTTCACGCCGGTATTCTGTGAGGTCGTGGTACCAACCCAGCTCGAGCCGGCCCATACGTGCTACAGCAAAAATTGCTGCGTGGCTCTACCACCGTTAGAGTCCTCTGTCACAATATCTAAATTTGGTAGCTTTTTAAACAATAACTCTTTTAAGCTTGGAGTTTTTTTCAAACTATGATTTCCAATTTTTAAGATGTGATCATCATCATAGACACGAAATGTGCCGAGCATTAGTTTCCCCACGTTCATTTTTGACACCATAAGGCACATCTTTTAGTAATTCAGATGACATAGTCCATGATTGATTGATGTAATTTAAATGAAATTTCATTCGCGTCATTATCATCCGTAGGAAGCGAGGTGAGTGAGGGTTTTGCGGGATGTTGTATAAACATCGTTATCTGAGTTTTCTTCATTATAAACAGGATACTTAGGTGATTTAATAAGGTGAGCTTGGTCTGTATCTTCATTTAAATGCTGCTTTTCTTCAGTTTTCTGGTAAGCATATTATGAAATTAAACCTAAATATTTGTTAGTTTTTAAGTGTGGAGTGTCAATTGTGTGTGTGTGTGTGTGTGTGTGTGTGTGTGTGTGTGTGTGTGTGTGTGTGCGCGCGCGCGCGTCGTGTATGTGTGTGTGTGTGTGCGTGTGCGCGCGCGCATCGTGTGTGTGTGTGTGTGTGTGTGTGCGTCCGCGTGCGCGTGTGCATGTGCGTGTGGATGTGTATGTGTGTGTGTGTGTGTGTGTGTGTGCGTGCATGTGTCTATGCGAGGGAGAAGGTGAGTAGTATTCATCATAGTAATAATTATAATAAGAAGACATCAATTGATGGTCTATAAATAACACATTATAAAAAGTAATTCAATTATTTACAGATTTTAATAAGTCTTCGGTTTCATTATAATTTAGTTTTTGAAGCCATTTCAATAGAGTTTTTTACATTGATTTTTATTCAAAGTGTATAAGTTTACTTGCTTATTTATTTTATTGTACATGAATGGACCAAGAAAACAAAAATATTTATGTGCATAGGAATGTTTAAAGGTATGGCACACTTTTTCCGGTCTTCTCTGTGTTAATTGAGATGAGCTAAAATTTACTAGCATGTGTTGTTTTAAAATTGTAAGATAAATGAATAATTGTCGGACTTTTAAGACTTCATAATTTTTATATAGTTCATAAGTCGGATAAAGAATGGATCGAAAAGTACAAACCTTTAGAACTTCTCTCTGAGCTCTTTCTAGGGGAATTAATGTAGTTTTTGAAGTTCCACACCATATTGTTATACCGTAAGTTATAATGGATTGACACAAAGCAGTGTATATTTGTTTCGCTAGTTCGGGCTTAGCTACATGTCTCAGATTTTTAAAGACGTATATTAGTTTTCGGACTCGGGACGTTAATACATCTAAATGTTCTTTAAAGCTCAATTGGTAATCAATAAGAATACCCAAATACTTGACACAGTGAATTCTAGATAAAGGTAAGCAGGCGCACGGTAATTTCCTAAAGGTTTCGTTAAATTTAAACAGGTGTGAGCAGTTAAGTTATAGTTAATTGTTGACTGAGGGTCATTGGTCATGGAAAAGGCGATAAATTTAGTTTTATTAATATTAAGAGATAGGTAGTTATTACGCAACCAAACTGAGACAGTGTCAATCCCAGTTTGAGCATTATAAAAGGCTTCCTTCCATGTACTTGCTGCAAATAGGAGTGCTGTGTCATCAGCATATGATATGATTTTGCCATGGAAGGATTTGAGTTTCAGAAGGTCATTTATGTAGACGAGGAATAGAATCGGTCCTAGGATACTCCCCTGAGGGAGTACCTGACAGACACATCAGAACTAAATTGGTTATTTATTGTAAGACATTGAAGTCTTCCAGTTAGATAGCTTTCAAATAATTGTAGTTGTGTGCCCCGTATACCGATTTTTTCAAGCTTTATTAGCAGTATGGGGATAGAGACCGTATCAAATGCTTTCGCAAGATCTAGAAAAACTCCAACAGTTTTATTGTCTAGATTTTTGATAATACAATCGGTTAATTCATGTACCGCATCGTTGGTAGACTTTCCGGATTTAAAGCCAAATTGACAGTTTGATAGAATATTAAAATGCTCTAGGTATTTTACAAGTCGGATATTAACTAGGCTTTCTAATATTTTTGAGATAGACGGAAGTATAGAAATAGGCCTATAATTATTCACACTATCTCCAGATTTATATATCGCTTGAATTACAGATTTTTTAAATAGCTAGGGAAAATTCCGTTCGTAAGACATAGATTAAAGATATAAGTCAATGGTGGGATTAGGATATGCCGAAATTTTTTAAGAAAGTTATTAGAGATTTTATCCCAACCAACTGTACATTTTGTTTTTAAATTTATTATAATACGTTCTACTTCTTCAACATCAGTATATAATAATACAAACGAGTCTCTTCTTGTCTCAAGGTTAATTTGTAATATATGTAATTCTTGTTTTTGTATAATGCAATTGCTGATATCAATTTTTTCTGAGATTTTTTTCCCTATATTTGCCAAGAAATTATTAACACTATTTAAAGAGTCTTTAATACACCCAGTTCCCAATAATTCTTGAGACGACGATTTCTGTTTAGACGTGTGTTATACTTTTAATGGCTTGCCATATTTTTTTATTGTTTTTACCTGCTAATTCTAATTGCGTTTTCTCATGCTCTCTTTTAAGATTTTTTTAGTATATTATTGCAATTATTTCTGTATCGTGTATATGTGAGTTTAAGTATTATGTTTTCTGGTGAGCGTTTTAGTTTCATATGCATTCGGTCCCTATTACGCATGCATCGTATTAGGCCAGGGGTAATCCAAGGTTTAATGTTTTTAATCGCCTAGATGTTTGAATTATAACTGTATTTTGTTCTATCACAGTTTTTAAAGTTGTAACTAAAAATTGTATGCAAAAGTTAGCATCATATGATCTATAAATTAGTTCAAAATCTATATTAACTATATCCGTAAGTAATGCTTCATTATTTAATTTGGTTGTATGTTTCAAAGAGGACTTTTTAATTTCATTTTGATTTAAGCACAGGAGTACTGTTTGATGATCAGTTAATGTAGAAGTAATCACCAATGTAAGTGCTGCTTTTTTTGTTTTGAGCAAAACATGGTCGAGACATGTTTTATTTTGTCTTGTTGGGGAAGAGTGGGCAGGTAATAATCCATGGCTAGCACAAAGATTAAGTCTGATATCTATATTTAGGTCACCTATATTATATATGTTTTTAAAAGTTGATAAGTTCGACAAAATACAGTTAAGATACATATTAAAGGAATCTAAATTACGGTACGATGGTGAACGATATATCGCTATAATTACAGTTTCAAGACCAAGTATCATAATAAGACAATTTCCTTCTGGAAATGTCGGTTCTTTAAAAGTAATTTTGATATCAGATTTGACATATACCACGATTCCATCATTTTGCAATGCACGTTTTGTTGTTGCATGACTCCTATATCCATTTATAATAGGCAAAAAGGGATCAGAACCAAGCCAACTTTCTGTCAGAGTAATAATATCACAGTCAACCTCAAGTCTCTTCATTAATACTGTGAAATCGTCAAATTTCTTATTAATACTGCGAATATTTTGATTAAGAATGATGAGGCTTTTCGGTTGGTCGTGTAGCATTAGTTTAGTTTGCTCAACTTCACATATGGCATATTCAGATACAGAAATTGGATCAAGTTCGTCAACTTTATCTTTATCCATTTTTATAAATTATCTGACATTGAGGCTCTATTTCACTTAGTTCTACTAGGTAAGTTAAATTGATCAGAGAGAGTAATAAATTGAGATTAAAGTTATTGTTTAAATAAAGAAAATTTGTGTAAGTATTGGTTGTGTATTGAGTAAGTGTGTAGTTGTATAATGTGTAGTTAGAAATATAAAGGAGTATCATTTGCATGTAGAGTGTAGAGTTATTAAAAAAAGTTACAATATAGTGTGTGTACAACAAAATAAAATAATAAATGATCAAGGCTGATATAAAACGTTATTTGAATAATTTGAAGCAAAAACATTTTTCTTATTATATACAGCCACACTATTAACTGCACTGATAGTCAAATTTTGGATTCCTTTAGTTTTGCAAGGTCCGCTTCTTCATCAATTCTTATTTGTGGGCTTCCTTCTTTCTTCCGCAAGTATACTTTTCCATAGGATGTCCAACAAAAAGCATATCCATGTGTTTTAGCAAAGTTACGAGCGAGGAAAAATAATCTATTACCCTTGAAAGTGAGACTTTCAGAGATTAAAATAGGTACTGAAGGGCAATCCCATTTCAGAAGCGATGTGTTAAGTTTCTTTTCACTCTGTTTTGTTATAATTCTTAACAGCTTTTAATATATTCTCCTTCTTAAGGACGGGTATAAATTCGACCACAATGGGTTAAGGCGAATGAGGTTTGGCGAATCCTCGATGTATATCTTTTATATCCGTCGTTAAAATTGGGATATTTATAAGGTCTCCAATGCTCTGTATCACTGTAGTAAGTTCCTGTTTTGACTCATTTTGAATTTTTGGGTTATTACGAATTTAAATTTTTGCAGCACACGTGTTTTTTTTTCAAAATTTTCAAGCCGGTTTTCAAGTATTTTTATATAATTGTGTTGTTCTTTACGCTCATGTTTCAACAAATCCAACTCCTTACGAAAGTCATCATATTTATCCGATAATAGTTGTATCGTGGCCGTAATTTCAGAGTTCTGTGTTTTAATCTCTTTAATCGCGGACTGTAAGCTTTCAAGTTTATTATTTTGTTGTTCTGTAAAATTCTTAAATAAACTACGAACCTCACCCATAAAGCCCGATCCTTCAATCTCCCTTTTACGTTTCAGTCGTGCCGTGTTAATATTCCGCGATTCTTGTTCCATTACCACCTTATCACTTAGGCTCACGTCGTAGAGATTGAAGTCCGAAACTGATTTTTGATGCGGCGGAGTGCGTTTTAATGGCGTTGATAATTAAATGTAAATAGGTGCGAGGTAATAATAAACTTTTTAGCTCACCACAGTTCAACACCGTAGACGAATCCTAGCACTGGTAACGTAGAATGGCGGCTTGACGTAATCAACGCGTCGTAGCAGATCGTATCGTTGATCGATGATAAAGAAGGCAATTATGCAACCATCTCTTTTCCCCGAGGTGTGCGGGCCGGGGAGAACTCGGTGACGAAACGACGACGGCAATCAGTTTGAGTTGGAATGTATATTACACAGTTTTAATCGTTATTCTACGATAACATAAGGAGGACAATTGTGTAAAACTACGAGTATTATTAAATTTTTAAATAAAAACAACACACGTTTGCTTGCTACGCGATCTCGGACGAAAGAGGATCAACGATAGGCTTAAATATTGTTTCCAAAGCCAGACTGTTTGTATTTTTTGCATCTTTTATCATTTCTACCTTTCTTTTTACAGCTGCAGCAGATTTTACCATTGATTTATATGTTACACTAGATAAGTAATTGCCGCGCCAAAGCGTTGCCACTTCACATACGGCCACAGCCATATGCCCAAGCAACATCGGTTCAGTGTTCAATGCGACGCCGACCGAGTTGAGCCGAACGATTCACGACAAAAAATAGGTAAATGCGTAGTGAAAGAATGCGATTCAAGGTCACAAAAACATAATTAATCGAGCGGAATCACTTTCCACACGTAAGTTTTAGTTTATGTTTTCATATTAACGTAAAAAACACAAAAAAATAAAATAAAATATCGAATATTGCAATTTAGGTTCAATGTTGCCACTTTTCTGCCTTTGCAATTTTCCCACATTACACTACTACGACTATATAATTTATGGAATATATTAATAACCACAGTTTTTGTGGCTAATGTCATGAGAATGTCATGTCATGCTTTCACAATTGATGAATATTTCAAGTTAAGAAACCCAAAATTGATTTTTTTCACTTGATTTATTTTTGTTTGATTTATCAGTACAATAAAAGATACTTAGAAAAATCTTTCATTTCATTAGTTATACTTCTATTCATCGGATAAGCATAGACACATATTTAAAATAAAAACAAATAACTGCAAAATAACTGCTTAAAAAACTCTTTTTTATTGCTTATTTTTGGGTAAAATTTCATATAGTAGGCAATACCAATCCGTCACTGCATGTTTATGTGTATTTCTTTATCTAATCTTAGCGACGGTATTGTTTTCGTGACTTGTGTAAGTGAGACAGATATATGTTTACTTAAAAAGGATTAGTAGTTTCAAAGCTACGTCCTCGCGGCTAGATAGTGGCTTCACTTTTTTCGGCGCGCTAATGTGGTTTGCTCCTCTAGTCTTGTATAACTCAATCGATTTTACAATTTGTTTCTTGAGGTCTCACTCCATTGTAAAGAAATTGTACTATGTTTGACTACTCAACAGAAACTGATTGCTTTGAGACATGTAATTATGTTATGTATGTTAATTAGGTAATTATGAATGTATCAAACTTCATTCTGTAACAGCCTTTATTTCGTTCACAGTCTTTATTTATAACAATATAATTGAAAGGTTTCCTTCACACAGTTGAACACATTTGCCGGAACTGAGACCATGTCATGTCAGACCCTACATGCTCGTCATAAATGTGTCTCAGATTTTCGTCATCTTGTTTAAACAATATGATCAGGTCAGCGTTATCTCTAACTAGTCGCTTAGGTATCTCAGTATACGTTTGATTAATATAAAAACAGTCAATGTTCTTATGTCGACCCATGGCGAAATAATCGCGTATGTTGTTCTGATTTTCACAAGCTACATCGTCAAATATTATAATTGAGTTAGGCGAAGCTTCGTGTGGACTCAAAATTTCACTATTATGATTATACTTGTAATAAGATATAACTTCCACATTCTGCAGTACTTTTTCTAAAAATAAGTATTTAGGTTGATGTAAAGACTTTGAATATACATAAAGGTTGTGAAAACGCGGTCCATTCTGATGTAACATTAAGCTGATGACTAAGTTAGTTTTTCCGCAATTCGATGGACCGCATACAATACTACGTATCGTATTTGGCAAAAAGCTCCCATGACGTTTAACCTTATTTTTTGGTGCAGGACAGATACATTCTAATTTAAGTGATTCTTTTTGTTTGAGAAATTTCATAACAGGTTTGTTAACTTGTCCGTATTGGCTGATAGGTTTTAATAAACTAACGTTATTTTAATCGTGTTAATAATTTAAATACTTGAAAAAGTTGCTGAAGATTAACTTAATCATCATCTTTAGTTCAAAAGCATTTTTTATAGGATAGGGTGACAAACGAGCACACAGTCCACCTGATGGTAAGTGGTTGCTGTGACCCATAGACATCTACATCTATCCTCGTTTGCAAATCAAAATGGAGATGCGTTGTCTCCCTTGAGGACTAAGATGGAATGCCTCTTTTCCAGTAAAAAGGGTCTCCGGTTCTCTACACTCACCATACGAAACACAGCAGCGTTAAGCTGCTATTTTACGCTGGTATTCTGCAAGAGCGTGGTCCTTCCCCGGTCGAGCCGACCCAGTCGTGCTACAACTATACTACTAATATAGCTGTAGCATTGCTCTACCACGTAAAAACATTCACTCACTCTTGCTTCGCTCAAGCTCTGTGCCCACTGAAGACCATAATTCTCTCAAGTATAGGTCCAAATTTCTTTTAGTCTAACCAAATTAGTACCTACATGCTTGCAAGTTTCTATATTAAATCAATTTATTTAACCAATGGTGGGTGATCGCAAATGATCTAGCGGTTTGTACTACGAGTGAGCTACAAAGCGTGATGGCTGCGGTTCGATTCCCATCCAGTATAAAAATTAGGGTGCATGAACACCTGAAAACATTCGTATATACTCTTGGAGACCTTTTTTTTTTCTTTCTTCTTTTTTCTATGTGTAACTAGCGAGCGTTAGCGGTTCAGGCATTCTACTATGATTGAGTAACAAACATTAAAAAAACATCTAACATACACTTTTATGTTTATGTTATTAATTAATAACATAAGCATAAGCTTGCATGTTATGCAAGTTACCTTCATAGCGTAATGTCTTATGGAATCTTACTATGAGATAATGCGACTGACATTGAAGTCATATTTGTTTGCAAAATATAGGCATACGGATGATTTATAACTTAAATTGTAAAGAGTCCCTTAGAGACAAATTTAAGAGCATATAAACATATTAACTTAGCATCGAAATATATTTAAGAAAATGTAATGTATGTACATAGAAACAGCTTTCATAAGAAAAAATATGTTCATTTTTAAACACTAGGAACAAACATAAGCTTGTAATACCAGTTTTTAGACTTTATAGAATTAGTAATTAATTTATGGGTAGGCAATATATACGCTTTTACAAGAAACGCCTGTGTGTTATTCCGGACTATATTCTATGTAGATATATTACGAATAGTATAAAATTTAGTTTAAGATTGAAAATTTGAACGCTGAAGTACAGTCGACTTCACAAAAGAAGAAAACGGTTAAGAAACCAGTTAATGTATTAAACACTAAAACAACAGTTCCTAAGTGCAAGAAACGAGTTGAATTATTCGGAAGCGAGTCGGAATCTGAGGCTGATACATTATCATCACTCACCCAGCTTCGACCAGCAGGAAACGTAAATTAAAAGTTTTTCCAGATTCTGAGGTAAGCAAATCTTATTTAATTTTAATAGTTTGAGTTACCATTCACATGATGAAAAGTTAGTTT